GTTTAGATTTACAGTCCACTAGGTGTCACCCTCTCCTCAGTGACTGTTAGTATCCACGAAGCAAAGGTCTCCTTCTATCTATTGTCTCTGACACTGTTCCAAGCTCTGAGGCAAATAAATATCAAGTACTTATAAGTTCAACAAAGCAGCAGAAGGAAGAGTGAGCAGAAGGAAAAGGAACCCAGTATACCAACCCGACTGTTAAACAATCTCTTCTCTGACCTTTCCAAATCTTTTCGGCAAATATTATTTTCCACTCCTGTTGTCCATGTCGGGTTTTCGTTCTCACTGTGGCTAACTCCTTTAACTTATTCCGGCTGTCCTTCCAACTCAGCGTCTCTGCTCCACTTCTTTTCGGCAAGATTGAACTGCAGAAACAGCCTCCTTCCCGGCGCCTTCTTTCCAGCTCACCCTCTCTGCCAATTTCGCATTGTCCTCCTCTTTGGGTTGTCAGCAATAGTAACAAGTATCCGATTTCAACTGCTTCTNTAAAGTTGGAGGGGGAGAAGAAAGGGTGTATGGAGGATTGAAGTGTTATGTTGGTTTTCTATGGTGGAATAGAAGATGAGTTGTGTTTATTGTTTTCTTAATTGCACAGTATATAAGTGATTGTATAAAATGAAAATGAAAATGAAATAAAACAGTCTTCATGTTAAAAACCAAGCTTAGCACTGTTGTGTGAATCAAGCTCCAGGATAAGTATCCTAGGAGGAGGAGGACTAAGCAGTAGGTGGTGATGTCGTAACAAACATCATGTCATGATGTCTTCTATCAGTCACGCATGCCTACAAGTTTGAACCATAAGAGGATCTCCTTTGAAATAATAATCCTTGGGAGAATACAACAATATAAATAAAAGAGAATATTTGTAGCTCAGAGTTGAAACAAAGTACAGATACAGATTAACATAGTAACATCAGTGCTAGTCAGCTAGTCAACCCTAGCGCTGATGATGTTACCTAGTTTGGTAATGTAACATCTGCAAGAAAACAATGAAGCTGAGAGAGCACCAAGGACCCCTCAAATATAATGGTAGCAGGAAAAGCAAGTCAGTGAGTAGGTATTAAATAAATATTTTTTATTTCCTTTTCATATTTATTCATTCAATTCATTCCACATTTCTGAATCACCCATCTGTCCTCAAGAAATTGATTAAATTGATGCAGACCTGCTGCAGGCTGTTTCTGGTTTTTCCCTTCTAAATCTTTGTGCTTCTGAAGCAAATACTGGATTAATAAATGTAAATCCCAGGCCAGCCAATTGAAACTTTCCCCTAGCAAGTTATTTTAAGGAATGACATATTCATTTCACGGACTTGAAATGTATAGACCAAGTACATGCTAAGTTGGGCAGATAAGTAGTTGCCTTGCTCTGAATCATAGACTGACCTGTTTGCTATTCTTCTTTTATCCAGATCACTTTTCCAGAGTCACAAACTACTTGGATAATTCTTATTCTCTACACTGTGAGACTTGGGATGAAAATGTGGCTACTGTTTAGAAGAGAAAAGCAAAAGCAAGCGAATACAGCACACATCGGCTAAGCTAGGAATGAAAACATTACTAGATTTCATTGCATCAACCATTTTTGGATGGACCAGTTTCTGCCCTCATTGCATCTGCCCTCTGGAATGAGGGTTGATTACCAAACTCAGAGTGAAACAAACTCATAAGGAATCTATTATTGTCGTGATGGCTCTCTTAGCTCAGTGAGTGATCCCTTCCTATCATGAAATTTGTCAATTACCCTGATTAACCACACAAGGAAAGACAGAGAATTGGAAAATAAAGTGGTCATCAGTCTTCCATTCATGTTCAGAGCAAAGAGCTCGGAAAGATGTCTTTCACTGCCAGCTGTTAAACGTCTCCTGTGGACCATGTAACTTCATGGACATAACTAGAAGCAAGCTGTGTTCTCTTTATCCTTCCTCTGAAAACATCTCTGTCTAAAACATTAGCTATCCTAAACAGTCCAATGAGGCCCAAGTTTAGAGACACTTCGGTTCCCCCTTCTCTAACAGCCAAGGTGCGTGAGACCTTATTGAATACCACACAAGAAGCTGAAGTCCAAAAGACAGAGGAATCCCTTTCATCAGCTGTGGCATTGCTTGTGGTGCTGATCCTCCTCTTCTGCCTGGTCTCTGTGTCCCTGGCGACCTACTGCTTTCATAAATGGAAGCTGAGGAGCAAAAGATTACAGAAAGCTCATGAAGAGTATCAGAAGGACTATGAAAACAGTGGGCACCACATCATGTCAAGACTTGTTTAACAAGAGGAAACAAAACTCAAAGCAAAGACATCAACCTAAGCTATTATATTTCTGCATTAATAAGAAAGAAGATAACTGTGGACATTATTGATTCAATGATATAGCATATTGCTTTCCTAATATGGATCTATCATTAATTGAGATTTTTCCTACTTTTTCATTCTCTATTTAAGATCATACCATGATTGGACTGTAAAGCTACTAGCACACTCTCCAGGAAGCAATATTCAAACATATAAAAGCATCACTCCATTATTTGTCTACACAATAATGGCTACTCTGGAAAAGCCAGCTTGAAAGTAATCTCTTTTCTTTTATCCAGATTTTCCACTGGTATCAGATAGCTTAAATCTGAGCTGCTGAAAAAGGGCAGCACAACTCTGAAATCCATATAAATCCTCTGATGTAACAACTTCAAAGAAAATCATAATTTTTTAAAACAGTAGAAGGCAGCCTGATCAAAGGCTGTGGCATTTCTATCCCATCAAATACTTACCACAAATACTTCTCTTGCAAGGTTCACTTGATTGGAAATTCACTTTTAAAATAATAGGAACAACTTTACACATAGGTGCCAGTTACAGATTTCACTGCAAATGGTAAGATAAAGGCGAGGTAAAATATTTCTCCTAGGAAATACTTACTAGAAGGTGAAATATAGTTATTCTTTCCTCATTGGGGGGAGTGGGTGTGTCTCTACATAGTAAGAGAATGAAATCTGTACTCTAATATAAAAACCTTTCCATTTTTATTTTTTTTGCTTTGTTTCCCTATGTTTGTAATAATTATGGAAAAAGTCAGAGACCCCAATCTGTGGTAGAAATCTAGTATAAAGCCCATGATTATAATAATGGCCGCCTAGCTGAGCAGAAAAGGAGCCTCAAGAGGAGCATTAATAAGCTTCTTTTCAACATCCTATGGCTGAATACAAAGAAAAAGGCAACAATATTCACAAAGGGATTTGGTGCCAGTATATTTATAGTTATGGTACACACAGAAAACAATTTTTTAAAACAGAAATACAAAGGCAGTTATTAAGAGGCCACATGAATCTACCATTCAAATAAAAAAAGATATGGATATAGATTGATGATAAAGTAGGTAGGTAGGTAGGAAGGTAGGCAGGTAGGTAGGTGGATGGATAGATGAGAGGGAGGGAGGGAGGGAGAGAGAGAGAGAGAGAGAGAGAAACACAGAGAGACATCACCTTCGACTATTCTGGTATAGCAAGGGAATCAGTATGGCAGGTAAAGAAAAATCTGGTGGATGGATACAACATTGAGTCCATTAATTAGTTAGATGATGACAAGTAAAACCTTTAAAAATGGTGCCCTCGGTTAAGTAAGGCTGATTTTTAAAAAAATGCTATTTTTAATATGAAAACTTAAAAACAACATGCAAGGAAGACATGACCTTGACAAAAGCAATGGCCTTGCATTCGTAGCAGTGGAGAGAATTTCCAAGAGGGGCAGTGCTCTTATTCACATGCAAATATAATCAACTGAAGCCCTTATGATTAACCAATTAATTTTTTTTATATTCTTTTCTTGCCTACCCATGTTTACAATTCCTTTTAACTGAGCTTGTTTATAATAGAGAGACCTGAAGGCCTATGAAGCGGTATATAAGTCTACTGCTATATAATAGCATGTTTCTATTTTCATGGCTTACTGACTTCATACCAAGGACAATAATTTGATAGGTAGCATATTAAAAGTAATCCCTTTTAACCAGAATGTGAAATATATCATGAAAATGACCATCTGTTTTTTGTTGTTTTTAAGTAGCATGCATATATAAACCTGCAACCATCCTGCTAAAGCATATAGCTTGCTTGCAATTGCCATTTGCCAATGTAATGCACATTTTTCAATAAGTTGTAAAACTGTGGGAAAACTTTACACCTTTTCTTCCAGAGAGGGGAGGAAGTTTCCTGTTTTTTTTTGGGGGGGGGGGTTAAGTGAAAAAACTGCTGAAGGGATCGAAAGAGCTCACTGAGGGCTGTTTCTTAAGAATGCCACAAAGAGGAAAGCATGGAAGAGCCTTAACATCCATTTGATTGCTACAGAGAGGTTTTGAAAAATGTATTTATGGATCATCCGGATGATTCTATGCAGAAACAAAACAGTATAACTTTATTATTTAATAAATCAAAGAAGCAGTGAATTTTCATGCCTTTTTTGTGAGAGATCTTTTTGAATTGTTTAGTGAGCCTCTTTGGTGGACCAAAAGAATGACCATCTCTCTGGAAATGCATGAGGCAAAGGGTTCTCAGGCTCTTGCCTTCCAGAATATACCCAACCTTCTCCCAAAAGACCAAGAAGGACCGTAAGTAGAAGAGTAGGCAGCTATTCTTGGAAGGAACATATTATTGAGAGCTTTCAATAAAGCATGGGATTTTCCAAGAAATTCACAGAAATTACAAGTAGTCCTCGACTTACAACAGTTCATTTAGTAACCATTCAAAGTCACAGTGACATTAAAAAAGTGACAACCTTTTTTCATGCTTACAACCATGGCGGTATCCCCATGATCACATGATAAAAATTCAGACACTTGGCGACTGACTCATATTTATGACGGTTGCAGTGTCCCAGTGTCATATGATACTGTTTTGTGATCTCCTAACAAGCAATGTCAATGGGAAAGCCAAATTTGCTTAACAACTGTGTAACTAACTTTAACAACTGCAGTGATTCACTTAACAGCTATGGCAAGAAAGATCCTAAAATGGGGCAAAATGTGTTTAACTGTCTTACTTAGCAACTTTAAATTTTGGGCTCAATTGTGGTCATAAGCCAAGGGCTACCTATATCATGCTGAAAGAAAGCAGGTTTCAATTGGGTATTACAAGGACAACCAACCTAAGTAGGGTAAGCAGTGGTTCCTTATATGAACTTTTCTTTTAGAACTTCCTCATCCTGATTCAGGTCATTTCTCCATCAAGCCAACTGGAGCACCAGAGCCACCCTTGGTTCCCCAAAAGTACCACTGGCCCATGAACTTTGCAAAAATGCTATCAAATTCTATTTTTCCATGGAGATGGAAAGTTCTCAAGTCATATGACACTGTTTAATATGTATAATAAATTTTCATTAAATTGCATTGCAGCAAAAGTCTCCTGGGCCAGGGTAACCCTTAAATTCTATATCCCTGATCACACTTAATATGGTTTCCTCTGATCATCATCAGCTTCCTGGGTCTCATCAGTCCATCACCTGCCATTCAGTCCTTTATCAACAAAGATGACATAGGTTGAGACTTGATTCTTCCAGAAAGGCCATAGTCCTTTTCTCCCATGCCATGAAATGACTGAAGCCCTGATTAGAACTTTGAGCCTTCAAAAGTTCATAATTCAAATTGAGACTCTGAAGACCAGAACTTACTAGACTGAAGACCAAATCCCAAACGTTCCAAGCAGGGCAAGAAACAGGGTCAGTGGAGACTGCAGTCACGCAAAGGCTGAGCACTTTCGTGTGGTCAAAGGACACAAGTAGCATCATTTGGATGAAAGGATGAGGGCTGTAGACATGAGGGTCATGTATCACATATATGGGTGGGTTTCATCAGAGAACTCTTAGAGGTCTGTCTGGATTTGCTTACTCAAACTATGCCTATTTTAAGGCTTAAAGTTCAGTTTTCATCTCTTTTTATCGTAATAGAACAAATCTGGGCTTTCAAATTTTCAGCAACTGTACCCAGCAACAGACAATCATCACTATATAATCTATTTCCCCAAAGTCCATAGCCTTCAGAAGTGCTCCGGCATTTCAGTTGGGTTGCATTAGATATTTTATTCTCTTCTCTGCTTCAATATCCACAAGTATATTTCCCTTCTAAAGCAACATTGCAGCTTCTTCCTTGGAATTGTCAAGAATGGTGGCCTAACTTCACTTCAAATTTGTCATGGATTTCAGCACTATCAAAATATATTCAATTTTACATCTTCTGCAGTTTCTTTCAAGCATGTGTCCAAATTCCAAAAAGAATTTTACTCAAAAAAAGTTGATATTTATGACATTCCCACAATAAGAAAAAAATATTTTCTGTTATTTGAAAATATATTATTTAATTCAAGAATCACATACAGCTCTACTTTCCCTGGGACAGAAGGTAAAAATTGACTCTGGAATCCAAATTGTCATTATTCTTAATACTGTCATTGCTCAGCCTATAGAGATTCCATCTATGGTTGTGTTTATTGCTCCAATATCCCTACAAGCAAAAGCTATTCTTTCCAAACTCTTTTATTCAGTTTCTGCCATATATTTCTGGGATCTTCAGAAAGCTTAGGAAGACTTTTATGTATTTCTCCAATGAGTGTGAGAGAATCCTGAAAGAAGAAGAAAATATGGTGAAAGACTTCCTATTTGCCTTCCTATTTGCATTACTACTGTTAACAAATTAGTTTATTTGATTTTTGTACCACCTTTGTTACCTGTATAAATAACTCATCGGGGAGAACATACAAATATTCCTTCCTCCTATTTTCCCCGCAAAAACAATATTCTATTCTATTCTATTCTATTCTATTATTATTTTATATATGGCTTAAGAGAGGAACCCTCAAGAAAGAAACTTGCTGCTCAAGAACAAGCACTACAAACTAATACCATGAAAGCAAAGATACAAAAATCCACTGACAATCCAAACTGCTGACTTTGCAACAACAAAGTTGAAATTGTTTCACACTTAACATGTAAGTGCAACAAAATCACGCAAACTGATTACAAAGCTAGACATGATCGAGTTGCTAAATTAGTCAACTGGTCATTATGTAAAAAATACGACACACCTGTATCTGAAAAGTAATGGGAGCACAAAGTGGAAAAAGTCACCAAAAATGGGACGGTGAAGATCTTGTGAGACTTTTGAATACAGACAGATCGTCATTTGGAACACAATATGCCAGATATCATGACCTGGCCATTGAAAAGGGCATTGGTCCTTACCTGAGATGCCTCTTCTCATAGGGTGGAGGTAGCATCCAGGCTGGGTTGACCTTCATCCACTCATTGCGAGGACTGAGCCTGACAGTTAATTGAAACCATGCCCCTGTCACTAGGCAAAAGCCCACTTCCAATGAAGGAAGTCAGACTCGATACATCATCGCCTCCCGTGGTCCAGTCCTTCAAATGCCGATCGTCTGAAGCAGTTCGCCAAATGTCAATCATCTGATGCAGGTAAGTACTATTGTGAATTCTAAAACAACAGTCAGTCACAAAGGAAGATGCATAATAACCAACCGCAATGAGATTTAAAAAAACCCTAACAAGAAAAAGATAAACAAGGAAACCAGTCCTATCCTGGGAGGGGCTGGATGCTATCTCCACCCTAAGAGAAGAGGCGTCTCAGGTAAGAACCAAGTCCTTTCTCCATAGTAGTGAGGTAGCATCCAGGCTGAGATGTACCAAAGCGGTAGCCGTCCCTCGGGTGAGCTTATGACTGGTTCTACCTATTGCCAGTTCTGTGGACCGACTGAAGCACCCGCCAGCCAAAAGTTGCATCCGCAGATGCAAAAACATCCAGCTTATAGTTTTTGATGAAGGGGGACAGGGTAGCCCATGTCACTGCCTTGCAAATCTCCGCCAAGGAAGCCTGGGCCGCCCAGGTCACCGAAGCAGCAGCACTCCTTGTAGAATGTGCGGTCAATCCATGTGGAATTGGAACAGAGTAAGATTGGTATGCTGTAGCTATACAGACCCGCAACCACCTGCCTATGGTGACAGATGATACCTTCCTGCCCAAGGAGGATGGTTGGAAAGACACGAAAAGTGACTCTGAGGATTGAAAGGGCCCAGTTCTTTTCAAATAGATCCTTAGAGCACTCCTCACATCCAAGGTGTGCCATTTGTGTTCCAAAGGGTGAGCAGGACAGGGGCAGAAGTTGGGTAACACAAGTTCCTGTGCTCGGTGGAAACAGGAGCACACCTTGGGAATGAAGGAGGGATCCAGCCGTAGCACCACCTGGTCCAGAGGGAAAACACACAGGTCTTCTCTGATCAAGAGTGCTTGTAGTTCAGAGATCCTCCTGGTAGAGGTAATGGCCACCAGAAAGGATACCTTCAGAGTCAAGAACCTAAGAGAAGTTTCTTGAAGGGGTTCAAATGGGGCTGAAGTAAGCGCATCCAGGACCCTGGGTAAATCCCATGAAGGATATCTGTGCACCCTGGCGGTTTAAGGTTGGATGCCCCCTTAAGGAAACGACGTACCGTGGGTTGTTGGGACAGTGAAGGGGAACCCCCACAGGTCAAAATGCATGAGATGGCCGCCAGTTGACGCCGGATGGTGTTAATGGCCAAACCCTTATCTAAACCGTCCTGTACAAATTCCAGGACGTGTGGGATAGTGGCCCTAATGGGGTCCAAGGTCTTATCATCACACCAGGAACAGAAGAACCACCAGGTGGTATCGTAAATTCATTTGGTGGACTGGCATCGTGCGGCCTGGATCGTCTGGATGACCCTGGAGAAGAAATTGTCCCCCCTCAGGACGCTCCACTCAAGCACCAGGTGGTCAACTGGAACCACTGGGGATCGGAGTGTTCCAGCAACCCCTGGCTGAGGGAGATTCGGTCCCGAGGGATCCTCCAGGGCCTGTCCACCGAAAGAGTCCATAAGTCCGCAAACCAATGTCAGTGGGGGGCGACCAGGATCACCTCCGCCTTCTCTCCCATCATCTTCTGGATGACATGAGGCAGGAGAGGAAGTGGGGGAAAGGCATAGAGGAGGCCTGGAGGCCACCTGCATCTCAGGGGATCCATCCCTTCCAACTGCTGAGCCGGGAACTGAGAGTAAAACTGAGGGAGCTGGGTGTTCTGGGGGATGGCGAAGAGATTGATCANTGTCTTGCTAACTGCCTATGCTTTCCACCTGTTGTCTATTCCATGTGCACAATAGCATGTGAAATTGATTGTCAATCAGTGTTGCTACCTAAGTGGACAGTTTGATTTCACAGAAGTGTGATTGACGTGGAGTTACATTGTGTTAAGTGTTCCCTTTATTTTTTTGAGCAGTGTATGTTCCAGCATAACTCTGGAGCACCTCGAGCAATTTCAACCAGAGTTGGTACACAGGTGACTTACCCTCTGGAAACAAATACTGGAGGTGGGGGGGGGGGGACGACACACCTGGTGTGTCTCTGTGTCTGTGTGTATTTGTGTTCCAGCATAACTCTGGAAAGCCTTGCCCATTAAGGAGAGCGAGTGCGGCGTCCTAGAGCGGCAATTGTTTGTGATGTCAATTCCTTCACAGCTTCCTCTGGAAAGCCAGCCATGATGTTTGCCCTGTAGTGGACCAATGAGGAAGCGCCTGATGGATTTGGGACAGTGTCTTGATGGTAGACAGGGCAGGAAAGAGGAGTGCATGGGAGGGGGAAGGGAGAGGGCAGGGATGATGGGCATGGGGGTAGGGGGAAGAAAGGCTCCTCTCAATAGCTCCCTGTCAGACAAAGGCTTTGACGTCTATAAATACCCAGGCAACGCCGGTTCATCAACTAGTATTTATATAAAAACAAAGGTGTCACAGATTAGAGGACATGAGATTGTAGATGAAGGCAACATATAAATGATATTAAATTGTGCTAGAAATGATGCCTATTAGTAAAATCCAATAAACTCTCAGCCATTTATAAATGCATGTGTAAGAGTTTAGCTCCGATTGTTATTAAATTATCATGAACAATGAGACAGAATACAGAACATAGACACAGAGCCTGGCTGGCTGGGGAATTCTGGGACTTGAAGTCTACCCATCTTAAAGTTGCCAGTGTTGAGAAACACTTGCTTAAGCAAGTGGACTCACCCATTACACAAAACTGACTACCAGTCAGAAGAAAAAATGCATTGCAAAATGGCTCTGCATTCATTGCTACAATCTTGATTTCACTCAAATACAGATAGTCCTCAACTTATGACCCCAACTGAGCCCAAAATTTATGTTGCTGAGTGAAAAATTTGTTAAGTGAATTTTGCCCCATTTCACCATAAATTGGTAACATGATTGTTAAGTGAATCAGGCTTCCCTGTTGACTTTGTTTGTCAGAAGATTGCAAAAGGTGATCGATCACATGACCCCAGGACACTTCAACCATCATAAATGTGAGTCAGTTGTTAAGCATCTGAATGTAAATCACATGACCATGGGGATGTTGCAAGTCATCAATGTGAAAAACAGTCATAAGTCACTTGTTTCAGTGCTGTTGTAATGTCAAAGGGTCACTAAATTAACTGTTGTTAGTCAAGGACTATCTGTATTATAAATCTTTGGATTCCAAACTTTAATTTCCAAAGTTAAAAAAAGAATCAGATAGACAAATTTCATGAACTTTTTTTGAGAAAAAAATATGTAATCTAATCCAATTCTGAATCTTACTAAAATATTAGTAGCAATTTGGAGATATGCAGATTGCAATAGCACTTAAATTTATATACTGCTTCATAGTGCTCTACAGCTCTCTCTAAGCAGTTTACAGGGTCAGCCTATTGCTCGGGGGCCTCATTTTACCGACCTCAGAAGAATGGAAGGCTGAATCAACCTTGAGCTGGTGAGAATCGAACTGCTGAATTGTTGGCAGCTGGCAGTCAGCAGAATTAGCCTACAATACTGCATTCTAACCACTGCGCCACTATGGCTCATGTAGTGTAGTATAAAATAGCACAGTGCAGCATAGCACAATACAATACATCTACGTTTGGTACATATATTCTGCTTTTTGCTTACTTTGGTGTACATATAGTCTTCCAGTTTCTCTTGAAGTAAAACATTATCTAATATAGTTTTCTTTCGACTGAGAAATTCAACTTTTGCAAAACCTGCTCTTTTCTTCATGCAAAAGCGGCATTGTGAAGGTTGGTGCACTTCCATTTCTGCTATCTTAAAGGCAAAGAGAAATAGAATTTAAAAAAATATTTGTTAGGCCCTAAAAACAAATAATATGTCAAGTTACTTCTAAGTAGTTTCTTTATTGTTGTTTGCCTACAGACAGAATTTTGCCAGACTAAAGCAGCTATCTGCATAACTATAGATTCTGTGTTTGCCCGTTTCCTGCCTACCAGACATTCCACGCTCTGTTGCCTCTTTGCACTCTGGGAGGCAGCTCTCCCTCCTAGGAGTCCACATTACATCCCACCACACTGTCTTCCTTAAAAACAAGAGCAGGCTAATATGCAAGTATATAGAAGAGGAAGGCAGACTTTAAAACCAGATAAGCTTTCTTCTAAAATGAGCTAAATAAAGAAACCAATTATTATTTTCACCAGGAGATAGCCTTTATTTCTCTCTTGCAATAACTTCTGTAGCAGCAATATCATAAATTTACTTAGCCATATCCCTTGAAATCATCATACTGCAATTCGTTCCTTCTGTCAAAAGTTATTTTAACACTCAGCTTCTTAAAAAGAGAATATAATGTAAAGAACTCCAGCAACAAACTTTATTAAGGTTCCCGTCTTAGATGCACTTAACAGGAGCAAGCTTCATTAAATGCAATAGGGTTCACTAAACATGTATCAGATTACATTGGAAGAGCATCACATTATAGCTATAGTGCTTAAATTATTTTAGATTGAGAGAAGGGGAGAGGTGCATATTACTCATCTCATTAATTCTATCTTGTCGCTATGAACAAGAAGCTACTGTGAAGGAAGATAAACTACCTTCTAAGGATATTCCATCATCTATAACTAAATGTAAGCATTTCTCCTCGGGGTTAATTAATTAAAGAGCAGGGCTTAGAAAATTATGGTGAGACTATTTTTTACTTTCTTTTCAAGGCTAATTGCCCTTTCTCAACCTGGGCTTCCCCATTAGTAGATGTCTTCCTTCTGCAAGTGAAAATGTACATTAAATCTTCATTATAATCACGATGGCTTCAGCTAAAACTAACAGTAAGATTCTTAAATGCATGTGAGAACCTAACTGTACTATGCAAAATCATGTCACAATTAACAAAAATAACCTGGCTGAAGAGCTTACTTGCATCAAATATGCATGTACAACAAACATTCCATTTTTAGTTTGATTTTCGCAATTTTTAAATATACTGAGGCTAATCTTCTATTGCAAAATAGCACAGAATCTTGTAGGGAGAAAACAAAGTTTCTGTTATTAACTGAGGTGGTTATTAAGTGAGACCTGCCTCATTTTATGACAGTTCTTGCCACAGTTGCTAAAGGAATCAGTGCAGTTAAGTTAGTAACACATTTGTTAAGTGAATCTGATTTCCTTGTTGACTTTGCTTGTCAGAAGGCTACAGAAGGTGATCATGTGACCCTGGGATACTGCAACCATCATAAATACATGCCAGTTGCCAAGATCTGAATTTTGATTGTGTGACCATGGGGATGTTGCAATGATCGTAAGTGTGAAAAACAGTCATAAGTCACCTTTTTTCAGTGCTGTTTTAATGTTGGCCATTAAACAAATGGTTGTAAGTTGAGGACTACTTGTAAGTCTGTGAATAACAACAAGTAGCAATTGGCTTTTCCCCACCCTCCCAGTCATTTGAAAAAAGGTCATGATTTCAGCACCTTTTTCATCATCTCCTTGAGACTTTTCAGATGAAGTCTGTTTACTAGCTCAGGAGGGACAGGAGAGTTGCAACCTCCCGTCTGCTGCCTCCGTGAAACCATCCTAGGCCTCTGTTCCTTACGGCTATTTCTTCTCAATGGTTCTGAGCTCCTCTGATGACGGAGGTGGTTGATTTTGCTGGCACAGAAAGACTGCAGAGCCCCGAGTTCTTTTTCAGAAATTCCTGGTAATGCTTCATTGGGGGGAGGGAGGGGGAAACAGAACAAAGTATCAGATACTATCTAGGGATGAAAAAGCTTATAGTCTTATTTCCAGTCACCTGGAATATCATGGTGGTGACATTTGTTGTGAGTTTTGCCCCATTTTATGACCTTTCATGCCACAGTTGTTAAATGAATCTGGTTTCTTCATTGACTTTGCTTGTCAGAAGGTTGCAAAAGGGGATCACATGACCCCAGGATACTGCCACCGTCATAAATATGAATCAGTTGCCAAGCATGTTAACATTGACCTCATGACCATGAAGATGCAGCAACATTCGTAAGTGTGAAAAACAGTCATAAATCCCATTTTTCAATGATGTTGTAATGTTGAACGACTACTAAATGAACTGTTGTAAATCGAGGATTACCTGTATTGAAACTTACATTAGCATTACTTATTGAATAGTGCATTTGGAGTCAACAATGTTTACAACAATCAGGGACAAAACAAGAAACCCCTTCAACAGCATAAAGAAATAACCTCTTTGCCAAAAAGGAAAGTTAGACTTTTGGAAGAATAAAAAGGATTTGATTGCAGATAATAAAGAGAAAATAGAATGCAGATGCTGGAACAGTTTTAGTCAAAGGCTTCCTTTTCCTTTTTACTCAAACACTTCTAGCTTAAACCACATGGATGAAAAGGGTTTAGAAACTCAGCTTTTTAAATTCCAGGTGCTGTAGGCAGGGTTATTTGTTATTAGGAAACAGATTCTACCTGGTCCAAAAATTAGTCTGAATAGAGCAAGTTGGGACCTACCTCCCTTGCCCCTTCAGATGGCTAATCAGAGGACCAGCAAGACTTCCTTCAAATTTTTTCATCAAACTCTTTGATACAGGAAGGCCAGAACATAGAGAAGCAATTTGGATGTGGGACAACATGGGAAAATTTGAACTACTTTGGACCATGTCTCCAGACTCTGGACTACCCAAGCAAGATGTTTCAAAGTGTTTCTCAATCCACTCTAGCTGGGGAATTCTGGGAGTTGAAGTCTACACATCTTCAAGCCGAAAAGCACTGAGCTGGAGACCAAACAGTAGGTGTAAGTGAACCTCCCAGCTTTTCACTTTGAAAGTTCTCAAGGCTTTGTATGTTAACAAAATGGTCAAATTAAAATAATGGGAATGCTAAAAAAGCAGTATTATGAAATTAGATCTGTATTCTAGCCAAGTAACAGTAGGAAAGGGGCAGGGCCCAATTAAGGCCCCCTGATGCCCTAAGCACAGCCCAGGAATGGTGCCTCTCAGCTTTTCCATTGCTTCATTGGCCAGGCATTACGTTCAAGTGCTGAAGAGGAAATAAGTGATTAAAAATTCAGTGTAATTCCAGGCCATTGAGCCCCTGCAGCTATATTAAATGTAAACTTTTTAAAATTTTATGTTTTTAACATCAAATCTCAGTAAGCAATTTGAACAAATTATTTACTTATAATTAGGGCAATAGGGGAAAATGCAAATTTTCATCACTTTTTAATGTTTTTTAAAATAAAATTGTTATAAGGGAAAAATGCAAATGCAAAAAAATATTGAAAACTAAAGCTGTGAGTGGCAATGGAAGAATTCAGGGCATGCTCAACTTTTTGGGCGGGGGGAGTCTGATGTTCCCCCACTTCCTTAGTGCCCTGAGCATGAGCTTATTTTGCTTACTAGCCACCTTGCTTTCTAAACCACAATGTGCTGATCTAGAAACTGGGAGATTGTGAGTTCTAGTCCCATTTTAGGTATAAAAGCCAGCTAGGTGACTTTGGGCCACTCACCAAGGGGGTAATGAGTTCTAGTCCTGCCTTAGGCTAGGAGATACTGAGTTCTAATCCCACCTTAGCCATGAAACTGGTCTGATGAAAGAAGGGCTTTACCTGGTCTTTAATGGTTTCATTTAATATGTAGTGGTTTGAAGTCATCTAGAATCAGAAAAGTAGGATAGAAAAATACATTCTCTCTCTCCCACTGCTCTTTTTGTGGCCTTATAATCCCTTAATTTTGGAGGCGACAATGGAGCTGAGCGTTTACTGCCCGGATGCCCTTCCCAACACCTTTGCAGAGTTTGCAGCAGATATTTTTTTTCTTTCCACCCTAGGAGATAAACACCTGCCGCTACCTAGGATTGAACGCACAACCACTAGGTTGTCTTCACCACTAGGCCAAAAACTATGATTTATGAAACAAGCCATAATGATCTGGTTTTATTTAGCATCTTATAACAAGCGATTTTTTTCCCAATGGGGTCACACAATTTATCAGGATAAAATCTCAATAAGGAAAAAGCTGAGCAAAAAAAAACCCTTTTGATAATGTATGTTTGCTTTTTAGTTCATTCTTAATAGCATTTACCTGAGGAGGAATACTTCAAAGCAGATAAATTTAGACATTTTCTTAAATTTACTGAGAAAGTATTAATTGTCTTGCAGCTGATCTTCAATTATGCATTTAAAAAATTAAGCTATTCTCCCTACTTCTTTCAAGGAGATAAAGAAAATTGTAAAAGGCTCCCACAGCTGAGGTCTCCAGCAAACAAGTATTAAATTCAACATATACATTTTTAGACAGTGGCACATCAAAGCAATTGCTGTATTGTTCTGCCCAGAGAGGTACATTTTAAGATGCAACGGGTGTGTTTAAGGACATGCTGCTTAATTTAAATGTAATAATCTCACAGGGAATATATGCTACAGATTTGGGAAACCATCCTAAAACCTTTTTTTAAAAGACTTCCTTTTACCCAGCTCTTGGAAAACATTTTAGAAATAGAAACCATTTGTGAAAGAATGGATGATGAGAAGAAAATTGATCCTAACCTTAGGACGGTGCTATTACAATTCCAATTAATAACCTAGTCATTATATTTTGCATTAATTGCTGAGCTGCCATTCCTGTCATATCGGGGCTAAATTATATTTTAGGGCCAATAAGCACAATTGCACAGTTTCTATTTTCTAGTAACATCAATGGTGCTAATGCCAAGTCACTGGCATCCTGTCAAATACTAGAAAATCTGTGCCTCATTGGGTCATTTAAGATACTTACTAACCTAAAAAAGAGAAACAGAACCACCACAGGTAGACCCCCCCCCAAAAAAAAGCACTCAGAGGGAAGCAACGTCCAGCTTATATAATACTGCAACCAATTTTGATGGTCATATTACAAAAAAGATGTTAACACTTTGGAAAAAGTTCAGAGAAGAGCAACTAAGATGATCAAAGGCCTGGAAACTAACACATACATAGAACAGCTGCAGGTTTTGGGTCAGGGAAGACATGATAGCAGTATTTGAGGGGCAGTCACAAAGAAGAGGGGGTCAAATTATTCTCCAAAGGGGAACAGGAGCTGACGTCGCAACAGTATGACGTGCGATCTTGGAGCTCCAAGATTGCAGTCAATTTTTTTTGCTGCTGGATGGTCCTTTTGGACCTAAACCATCCCGAAGAGACAGTGACAGGGAAGAGTACGTCTTATTGATCTCAGGGACATCGTAAAGTCCCTGATTGATCCAAGAGAACCTCTTCTTGCTGGCGACAAAAGCACAGCCAAAAGCTGCTGAAGTTGGGACAGCTCCGGAACAGGAGAAAAGCGGAAAGAGAACGTGTGTCCATCTGGTGAGGAAATTGTATTGTTATAAAAGAGACTGCCCCTCAAATACTGCTATCATGTCTTCCCTGACCCAAAACCTGCAGCTGTTC